TGTCGTTCACCGTTCGCCTTATTGTTCCATACTTACCTGAGGGGGTACTCATTCAAAATTTCCACTAGAATGCAGGCACCATTCATTTGCCCTCGGAGTGTGTACAGTGAAACACAAAAAAGGTTTTGTTATCCCAGTTATCTTCCATTTTCCCGTGTTTTACTGTTTCGCCCTCTTTCCACTTTGTTCTGTATCCCAATCCACTTGCCCCCTATTATTGCTTCTGTGATTATTGTTTTGGTGTTGGCACTATACTTTTCTTCAAGCTGGTGGTAAATATATATATATATATATATATATATATATATATATTGAGAGAGAGACAGTGTGTGTACTGTTTGGAATTATGTACCACCACATTGTTTCTCTATACCACAATTGATTCTTTCAAGCACAAACTGGATGAAACTTTGATAAGTCCTAAATTTCAACATCTGTAGCAGTGCACGAAACAAGGGTAACCTGTGATATTCCTCATCTTTAGATGAACAGTAAATTGATCGATTTGTACTGAACCCTATGGTACAAGAATAGCAATCGTTTGTAGGTAGTTCACATTATAAAACGTTGNTAAAACGTTGACTTTGACTTTGACAATCTACATTACGGTGATAAAGATCTTCTGCTCCCCCATATGTACAATCCTGTGGGTTAATAAAGCCGGGCCTCGTTGCCGTCGGATTGTGCAGAAGCGCATACTACATCGAGATGTCGTCTCTTTTAATTGGACACTACCAACCAGATTAGAGCGTAGTGGGTATATAAATAAAGAGGAAGAATAATCCAAACCTCATGTTCTTCGGAGGTTTTGAAGCAATATGGCAAGTAAATCAACTAGATCAGTTCAAAAAAGGTAACAATAGCACATTTTTGGGAGTTGGTGAGATGATAGAAAAGGTAAAAACTAATAAATTAAGTTAAAAATCAATATTTAGCTTTTAGTTTATTAACGGTCGTCCTGAGGCTTCGGGGGTCACAATAGCGGCAAAAAACGTTGCTGATTAGATGCCTTTTCATTGACGCGAACTTTGTCCGTGATTGAAACAATAAACTGATCAGCACGGCATGAGTAAATGTACACTTATCCCTTCCGTAATAGTTATTCTAGAAAGCACAATGCATTGAACATGGAAGTCAATCACAGTTCTATTTCCAATAATTATTATAGTCTTTACTGTATAGTTAGCAATCAGAACATATCAAAGGGGAAATTCATCGTGTATATGGCAAATTATGCGTAAACTGAAAAGTTAGGAAGCATTGAAGAGCTGTTTCGAACTGGTTGGTCAAATGGATAGCCAGCTTATGTTCTGTCTAAGAGATCCCGGGTTCGATCCCCAGTTGGGTCGATGGATTCGCACTGCTGATGAGAACTAATCAGGTCGAAACAGCTGTCCAGTGCTTCCTAGCTTTCCAGTTCACGCTTCATTTACTATATACGCAACGAATCCACCTTTGAAATTACTCAAGTAACTAGAACATACTCGTTCATATACGAGTCTTCCAAAACTGGAGGTCATTAATTAAAAATCTGATTTCGGTTTCAAAGCCAAAATGCACTTTCTTGAGAATAAAAAGTGTTCAAATCAATTTACTTTACAAATGTGTTCAGTTTGGCTTGTCTTAGAACAATAACCAGTTCGTGTATACAAATGGTTTATCCGTAAGATCCCTGGTTGAGCAAAGCGAACTCAATCATTGACTTCACTGCAATGTTTCCATGGATAACTTCTGTGCGCGCCTCTCCGTTGATTGTCTGGAAGACCGGAATGTGGCTTGTTGTGATCCGCCTACACTGTATTTGGATTGCAAGTCCATGTCCACCGTGGTTGCTCTGTACTTTCGGCAAAGACCAACTATGCTTAGCAGGATGGCCAGGGTGCCAATGTAACCCAGGGTGATCATCATGGCATAATTGGTCCAGTCCATGAATTCCAACCATGTTTCCTCTTCCACGGCTACATCTTGAACACACCCCACTCCATCAGCACAGCGCCTCACCTGCGTCGGTTAAAGGACAATTTTTGATTGATTATATATAAACATTCTAAGCCTAAGTTTACTCGGAATACTCAAATAATACTTCTTCTTCTTAGTACTCGTGCAAGCTGTGAATAAACCATTATTTTTGTTTTGATATGCATCAATTCAATGAGGATCACAAAAACAATCGCTACAGTTTGTCTTGTAGCAGGATTAGTTTAGTTCCTTTTTAAAACTAACCTTTTATTTTCCTTCTTCCAATACAGCTCTTATACTTTACTCATCTATTTTACAAACCTGTGATGAGTGTATTAAGATTATTCAACTTACTGCCTGTGTTACGAAAACAACGGAACTTATGAAAATTATTGCTTAAGCAAATCCAAAAATAAAGCAACTTTCAATGCACCCTTAGGTTCAATCCATTTAACCTCTGATATGGTGGCCTTCATACCTCGAGTCAGAAGTTAAACGGGATTTATTATTAGGTTTATTCATCTGATCCCCATACTATACCTGAATCCAATCACGATTTACCACGAGGAGAGCTTTACTTATTGAAATTATTTCCGATAACGTGAGTGGCAAGGGCAACGATGGTCACAAATAAGGTGTACAAACGGCTGTGTGCAATCAAGACGGTAACAACTCTAAAAGGTGCATTTAATCTCACAATTTATCGTTCAGTGGTCACTCCGAATTAAGGTAGTGTTGCACAGATACTGATGTTCAGAAACCGACAGACTTCCATTTCCTTCAAGAACTAAAGAGCAAGTCTGAGCGTTAAACGGTAGAATCAGCCTGACATCCGTACCACTTGCTCAGCAACTTTTGACTTAGCAAACCTCAAAATGCCTTATCAAATTTTTTAATCTACCAGGAGCCTTGCGCATGTTTGGTGGTTTTGTAGGTAATACTCATCCACCGGGTAGAACGTTGCAATCCAAATACCAAATTTACTTGATTTCATTGCTATCTCTTCGGTAGGAAACTGTAAATATACATTCTATTTTACAAACAGAATAAGTTCTGGTGATTCTAAAACCAGTTGAAAGTTCTATTCCAAAAACTAGAAACAGTCCATCAGTTCCAAAGCTCTGAACCAGATTATCTCCTCAGTACATCTCTCAGATATAAAAAGGAACTTTTTGTATCGTAGGTTTCAGTTCTGATATGAATCAAAATCACTCAGATTATTTCAAGATGATCTGCTTGCTGCACCGAATGATAATAAGGAAGTTAAGACAGTTTACGATCAGGTTCTTTAAACGTTCCCGGGTCGAAACTCACTGGTCTTTAGCCGGTATAACGTTGAATTGTACAACTTGAAAACCGTGATAAACTTTTCCAATTATGCATATCATAATACCTCCTCACTCCATATTTTGCATCTAACGTTGTCAATAATTTCATTAATTCCGTTAATCAATACTATGTTTATGCTCTTTCTGCAGAGTTTTATTAGTTTACGCCGAAAACTTTAAGCCTCTGTTATAAAGATTCTTTTATAACACCAGTTTGCTTTAAATTCAACCGTTTTTGTCCACGAAATATTCCTACTGTGTTACTTCTGTAATGGCTAAAAGTTCGTTTTGGTCTGTTTCATCAGGCGCCAATTTTTCCTTTCATATATTAGTAATTGATGCTGCGTTGTGATGCAGGAGTGTGGCCATTAAGTCAGCGCTTTTTTTACCCTGTATTTATGTCTTGAGTTTTTGTACAAAATTGATAATTCAGTCCTTTTAGGATAATAAATGAATCATTATACTTTGCTGAGAACTCAATAAAATGTGTGAACTTGTTTCACGGTGACTAATTACGTTTCCACTAATCTTACTTCTTCAACTGGTCCGATACAGTCGCCTTCTTCTTCTGACATACACATGCGCAATCGACGCCGGTGT